TGATGATGATGATGATGATGATATTGCCAGCAGCCCGTAGCAACAAAGGCATATGACACTTAACCCTCAGCCGCACCGAAGTTGAGGGAACCTGCAACCCCGAGTGAACCCTAAACCCCAAAGCCAAACCCCCTAATGCCAAACCCTCATGGAACCCTTACGAAGGTGTCTATAAAACCGTTACTACGACATTTCCTGGAAGCAGCTTGGTAGGGTCTGCGGCTTCTTCGCTACCGCCGTGCGCTCCGGTGGCAAACGCCCGACGGGAAGGCTCGAGGGCTGTAGCCTCAGTTGTGAGGGCTCCATGAAGATTCGTACAGGGTTATAGGGTTCGGGCCTTTGGGTTTAGGATTCGGGGTTTACGGTTTGTCTGCTGCGGCCATCAGAAGACATGTGTGTACAAGGGCGTGAGTAAGACTCATATGCGGGTCCCGAGGCTTCAGGATTGAATACGTTCGGGCCGTTTAGGGTTTAGGGTTTAGGGGTTCGGGTTTAGGGGTTTAGGGTTTAGGGGTTTAGGGGTTTAGGGCTCAGGATTACAAAGGTCCTTCGTTGAACCGATTTCGCGTGATTAGCTGCCCCGCTTGTTCTTTGTTCAGCGACACTCTCCGAACGTTACAGTATTTGTTAGAGAAGAGAACAGGAGGGGCGGTTCAGAAATTCGGTGTTCCACTTTAAGCTAAGGGTCCTTATGAAAGGGATCCGACTTTTCGGGGCATATGTGCATCCCTTCATGTCTGAAACTCCTCAATCTCGCAGGATCCGTGGCCAAGGACCAAACTTCACATGCACCCTGCCGGGAACCTTGTCGGAACTCTCACAGGCGTCCTTAAAGGAATCCTTAAAGCAGCCCCGGAAGAGTTCTGAAAAGAACCCGAACATGACTCTGACTGGGCCATGCTACAATCGACTGCCCTTCAGAGTATTGCTGAGCTGGGCGATCATTCCACTCAGGTCGAGCACTTCGCCCTTCCTCGGCTCGTCGGCTACTAGTCTGACAGAATCACTGAAGCGAAGATGCCAGAGGACATCAGTAAGCTTTGTAGTTGGGGCGAAACCTGCTGCCCACACCCAAAAATCATTCCCGAGTACCCCGACGAACGAGTACAGCCAAGCTTCACAGACTCGAGCTGCTCGACAAAGGACTGTCGCAACTCCTTGTTCCAGGTGTGCATTTCCGGAGGAGAACACGTGCGCTTGCATCCGATTAAGAACCGGAGCACTGCCGAAAAGATCGCGAATCCACTCACAAGTATCCCCTGTACAGTAAGTTCCCCTCTCTCCACCCGAGTTGCCATGATCATACGCTGGACTGCTTTCGTGGCCAGGAGGGAAGCAACGGTGTCCCCCTTGTTCACCTGCTCGACGCGGCCCCAAAAACCTAAAACTTGAAACTCTTGACTTGCGCCAAAGGTGCGGAAGCTTCGCAAAGGACCACCCCTAACAAGCAGGCAAGGGAAGCAAAGGCAGCTGCCAAGAATCCGAAATGCGCGAGTGATACAATACCTTGATGCAAACAACCCTGTTGTAACCGCACAACACCATGCTGCCGGAGGAGTCAATGTATGTTTACATATGTGTGCATGCATCCACATATATGTATAAGTATGCATATATGCATATGTATATGTACACGTATATGAAAGTATGTATGCACGCAGTTATTTATCCATCTACTTTACTTTGGTACCTAGTCTTTAGCATGTGTTTACTTGGTTTGTATCTTACCTAGTTAGCTGGTTAGCTGGTTAGCTGGTTAGTTAGCTAGCTAAGTTGTTTGTTTGGCTGTTTGTTTGAGGAAGATTAGCTAGTGTAATTAGCTTAGTTAGTTTAGCTTAACTGGGCGGAGCTTAGTTTAGTTTAGTTCATTCTTTAGTTCAGTTAAGATAGTTAGTTGGTTAGTTAGTTAGTTAGTTAGTTAGTTAGTTAATTAGTTAGGTAGTTAGGTAGGTAGCTAGCTAGCTAGCTAGCTAGCTAGCTAGCTAGCTAGACATTTAGCTAGTTGTTAAGTTAAGTTTGTTAAGTTGGTTAAATTAGTTACCCTAGATAGTAATTAAGTAAGTAAATAAGTCAGTCAGTCAGTCAGTCAGTTAGTTTACTTAGTTTTGTCAGGTTTGTCAGTTTAGTTAGTTAGCTAGCTAGTTAGTTAGTGTGTTAGTTAGTTAGCTGGTTAGTTGGTAAGTTGGTTAGTTGGTTAGTCGGTTAGTTAGCTAGCTGGTTAGTTAGTTAGTTAGTTAGTTAGTTAGTTAGTTAGTTAGTTAGTTAGTTAGCTAGCTAGTTAGCTAGTTAGCTAGTTAG